CTAGTAACCCCTTCTCCCGTATAAATTACTAAATTTAAAAGAGAAACTTTCGTTTTTTTTTTTTTTTTTTGGGCCACCCCGCCTTGGTGGGATATGGCCGGTGTGTTGAAAGAAAAAATAATAATAATAATAATAATAATCTCACGGTAACAACTATTATTCAGTAGATCACTTTGAACTAAGAAAAGCCTCTGACGCAGTACATCACAACATCAGCTGTTTTGAGCTGCAACATTATGGAACCAGAGGCCACGCACTCACCCTAAGCTGCTCTTCCTTGAAGCTGCTCCTCGCTAGGAACGAATTTTGTGTACGTAATATAATTTTCTGAGTTCGCCAATAATTTTCCAAAATGTCTTCAAAGTTTTCGACATGTGGTTCAGTACTGCTCGCATTTAAGATACACGTACCTCTTAGTTTCCTATGCGCTTCTCAATAGTTCCTAATTCTGCAGTGTGTTATTTCCATCCTAGGAGGCCTGGTCTAAGACCAGGCACTGGAGTTTACCTGGGGAAAATAATCCCCTAAACCACTTATAACACTGGTAGAAAACCACTTGATGGAGAGTTGAGTAGAGGATAGAAGAAGGTAGTTTCAGCAAGTCATCATATATAGTAATATAATAGTCTTATATATGTCATATAACCGACATGTGCTGCTGGCCAACGCTGTGACAGTGTTCTCACTATCTAACTGTGCCTCTACCTCGCTCTGTATTACAGTTACATGATGGGAACGAAGGCTAGCTATGTTACTCTGTCTTACCCCACTCACACAGCGTGAGTTGCATATATGAAGTAATGAAATCTGCCGAGCTGAGGTGGGAGACTTCAGTAGGACAATGTGGATACTGTCACGCATTCTTCCCTGACTGTGCCGGAGGCTGGGGATGAGGAGGGAGGTCCTCAGGAGGTAGCGCTTGTGGTGGGAGAAGGGTGATGGGCAGGGAGGGGAGGAGAAGAGTGCGTAGGGGAAGGTGAGGATGGCGTGCCGTGGGGAAACACCTAGACTGGTTCATCGCATCGCCGTAAAATTAAGTCCTGGAGTGAGGTTGGCCACGTATAAAGCAATCTCCGATACTCAATGTATAATAAGCAGGGTACCTGCACTCAGATCAATACCTGGACCAGGTTTTTGCTTCTCCCAACCACCCTATACCTCCCCCTCTCATCTCTCCCACCTACATCCTCGCCAGTCTCTCCTCCATCCTCACGAGCTCCCCTCCTGTCCTCATCCTCCCCAACCCTCTGCTTCTATTATTTTCATACTGTTTTCTAGGTGCTTTTATTCTTTGGGCGATATTTTCGTAGCCTTGTTAACCTTAACCTTCAGTATAAGCAATGACCCTCACTACCGTCCCTGAGCCCTCACTGCAGTCCCTTGGCCCTTACTACCATCCCTGAGCCCTCACTACCGTCTCCCCTTCAATGCCTGCCCCCACACCAGTCGCAACATCCCAGCCCCAGCACAACACACAGCAGTCCCCACACACCAGCCCTCTGGACTGCCCGACACACAGTATCTCCCGGAAAGTGATCACATTTACTAAGAGTTAATTAAACGACGGGTGTAAAGTACCTCCTACCATCATTCCAGTATTACAACTCTTCCTCCATGGAGTAAGAGTACCTCCTAGCATCACTCCACCTTCCTCCACGGAGTAAAAACACCTCCTATCATCACTCCACATTCCAATGTCCTCGTTTTTTCCCCTCAGTCATATTTATAAGTTTCTGAAGATCTGTGTGAGTTGCACTTTCTTCCATCATCAAGGGAAGATGCTTTGGCCCCGCCCCTTTCCGAGGGGGTCTTGATTCACGAAATTGGACCGATCCTCCCCGTCAATGTATCAAACCTGATGAATCCCATTTCCCACTCGCTGCATGACCCCCTACGGGTTTATACCAATAGGTTTTATGTCAAAAACCATTAGCATTCTCTTCTCAAAAATGGCTTTCCGTGTTACACATTTAGTGTGTGTGTGTGTGTGTGTGTGTGTGTGTGTGTGTGTGTGTGTGTGTATAATCATGCAATTCTGTGCGCGCATGTCATTGCCTCAGCTAAAGGAAAGAAGGCACTTCCCCCTCAAGGGAAGAACCTTGACGCTGGCTAGGGGTTTTTGATCTAGGGAATTGGATCTGTGCTCCAGTTCCCTGAACTGACCCTGAATTCCTTCCCCCCCCCAATAAACTGGGGGATGGATTTAGCGCTCCCCCATAATAGTAATAGTAATAATAATAATGATAATAATAACTTCCTTAGAGTGTGTTGATAATATGCGTCGCCCACTGAGTGTGTTTACAAAGGTGCTTTTTTTGGTGTGAGAATTATCTGTGCCCTGGCACAGATAATTCTCACACCGGGCAGAGCTCCGGTCGTTTGCATTCTCTAGCGGAGGAAAAGATGTAGAGAAGGTGGGGGAAAGAAAGAGGGAATGAAAGGAAAGATTAAGGGATGGATTAAAGAAGGAGGGGAACGTAAGCAGGGAAGTAACGACAAAAAAGTGATGAGGTTGAAGAGAAGAGAGAAAAAAATAGTTGTTGAACGAATTCGTTTTTCTCTTTCGTGAGTCTGGTTACTCCACACCAGTGATAACACCATCTGTTACTCCACACCAGTGATAACACCATGACTCATAGTGTTAACAGACGCTATCTTGAGTGCTCCTAATAACTCTGACAAAGACAATGATTACAGAAGTTCTCTTACAAGTCATCAAGGAGCGGCGAGGGCTCTTCAGATCGTCCACCCTCCACTCCTCCCATCCCATCAACCCTTTGGTCATCGACCCACCGTCCCTTCCTCCCTCCCTTTGACTCTTAAGCCCCCCTTTCTTATCCCATTACCCCCCTAACCAGCAACCCATTTCCTTCCTTATCGCTCCCTTGATGATGATGGTAGTCGGGTTTTATTCGTCAGAAAACGGGTCAAACGTTTCCTGATGGTCCCACGAACTGGAGATTTTGGTCATATGACCGAGGCCTTCTGCTGGCTCACCGGTGGGCAGTTCCAGTTTGATCATTAACGGCTCGGGTCTTGTCCGTGAGGTAACCCGGCCTGCATTACTAATAATGTTTATACCTGGCATAATGCCCAGCGTGGTGTGTGACTGGCTGGGCTGCCTCCACTCCAACACGCCCACAAATTTAAAAAATCCAGGGGGCCGTGGGCTATTCTACCTATCGTGTACCTGTTGTCGATTCAGGGAATCATCACCCTGACCTCCTAGTTCTTGACGAGTCCTCTATTTGCTCTCAAAACCGCTGTACAAATTTATATCTGTAATAATGTTGGTAGAATTACCGACGATATGTTAGGTAATAAGGACACAAGTGCAACTAATGCCGCATTAGTTGCACTTGTGTCCTTTTACTTAACAATTTATAACTCTTTAAAGCCATTTGTAGATTCCCTATAAAAATAACTTGGGGAACCAATGTCTTCTGAGCACATCTCACAGAAAAAGTGAGTACCATTTCTCTCTTGTACCAACAGATATATTTCCCTATTCGTCAAAATTCCATTGTCGTGTGACCCCAAAATGTACATTGATAGATGTGGAACCAAATAAATCCTCCAAGGCAGTGCTGGTCGTGTGGGGGCAGAGATACATGGTAGGAAGGACAGACAAGCACACAGGACAACCTCCCTCAGGAGGAACCAGTGGTAGGGGAAGACGGTGAGTGTGTTGGGCATTAATTTTCCCACAACCCCCCTGTACGTAATACGCCCTCCTTCACCTCATCTTCCTCCTCCTATTCTTTATATTCTTCCTCTTCCTCATTTTCCACTTTCTTAAACACACCAAGACCCATTCTGGTTCCATTGTGTATCTTTTCAGTCTCCCCAAACTTCCTAATTCCTCTCGAGAGATCACATAATCTCGAGAGAGAGAGAGAGAGAGAGAGAGAGAGAGAGAGAGAGAGAGAGAGAGAGAGCACTTAGAGTAAGAAAATATATAAACTGGTGCCAGCTCCTATGAATGGAGTCCGGTACAGTTCTCAGTTTAACAAAGAGGTAGTGTAAAAATAGCACAGCCCGCCTCACCGTTCTGGGTGAGAGGATGAGGACCTGACATGTATGTAAGAACCTGACATGTGGAGTGACGACCTGACGTGTGAGGACCACCATCTTGTGACTCATTCACAACCCAGACATTGGAGGGTATCTCGGTGGGGATACGCAACTCCTGAAAGCGGGATGGACACGAATTCACTGTGTTCCCGGAGGCTATCGAAGCTGACGGAGCTTCAGAAGTTCCCACAGTGTTCGTGAAACTGAGACAGGAGGCTAGGGGGACGACACAGACTCGAAGTATTGACCAGATATTGCACAGACCAGAAAACACTTACTGATGAGTCGGTGCAAAGATCGAAAGACACACACAGACCAGACGTAACAGAGACCATAAAACACATTGGACCACTCAGACCAGTCGTTACCGAAAAGGTAGAAACACAAACTGTTAACAGACTTTTGTAGGTCTTCACAGGTGGGTTTAGAAACGAACTGGAAACATTAATTAAACTAGACATAGGCAAAAAGCAGCAGAAACAGCTTTGTTGGAGGGCAACGTTTTGTTTACCAAGAGCGAAACGCCGACCCAATGACAACTCGATCTGCAGCTCACGTCTTTTGCAGTAAGAAAGTTAGACTGTCAACAACTGGTGGTAAATGATCACCAAATCATTCACTTAGGACACTCACACTTAGGCGTTTCGGTGGCTGGATCTTAATCACTTAAAGTAAGCGAGGCATATAAAGCCTGTCATGCACCTTAAGTATATCAAGCGAAGGTGTCTTGGTCTCTATACTTGACAGCCATATTCTATCTCACCTCGGAAACAAATACAGTCTGGAAAAAGAAGGAATAATAAAAGAAGTCACAAAACCGTGTCTGGAATAACTCATGATTAACCCGTGCTTGACAGAGGAAACTTGTGACTAAATGGCCCTAACTGGATCATTGTCAAGTCACAACAGGAAAAAGATAGTCTCACCCGTCGTAGGTGGCGGAGAGATAGAGAGCGTAGGCGTTGGTGGCAGCGTGGTTCTTCACACACATTGTTAGCTCCGGCAGGCGGGTCCTGAGTCTCACCAGCAGCCACTGCAGTGTTGTTTCTCTGGTCCCTCCAGCCATCACCACCACCACCTCGCAGTCCTGTCACACACACACACACACACACACGACTATTACCTTGGCATCTGGTAAGTTTATGTACAGCAATAATATCATTTGTACATCAAATATCCAAGCTTCAGCACAAATTGCATAATAAATTATACGAATAGGTCATATTTATTGAGGTGTGGTAGCGATATTCCATCAGCCTCAATTGAACGGATTCGGTCCGAAGCTAATATAAGCACACTATTTATACAATAGAACCCACGGAGCTATGATATCTCTCGGCCCTCCGTGTTACAACAACACATAAGGAGCTACAATTTGCAGAAAATGGGGAGTGCAAGCAAATGCAATAATCACTAGCGCCTTCGACTGAATAGCCAAGTTAGGCAGAAGTGCACTCCCAGGAAATCCATACCCATAGTCCAAATAATTCAGGCCAGTACACGCTCTAAGAAGGCTTTCTTTTGATTATAATAATATAATAATCGCCAGACTACAGTTGAATATATGACGTTACACACAATATAAATATCATGCAATTACTAGGAGTTTCCGCACTTGAAAGCTTAGTAATTGCCAGGGATACTAATTTGGATTGTATATCGTCGATCATATCGCAGTCTGACAGAATATTCGAAATACCATGTTACGCTCGTTAGATTATATTTAATATCATTATTTGTGGGCTGGCTGTCCTCTAAATTCATCTTTCTAGCTATGGGCACTGGTGAATAGCCTGGGGACACTTCCCTACCTCCAACCTCATTCCATAGCAAAATCTTCCGTGATGGTATTTACCTGAACCTCCTCTTCTTATTCGAACGGTGCAACTCCTGATAATGTATTGATTGGCACCGAAAACCTAGAGCTATCATTCTATTTCCCCCAGGTTTTTTGCATCATTGAAAACCTTGTTCACGAATTATGTTGTGTGTGTATTATCACAATTAATATAATAATAATATATCATATATATATTATATTATATTATAATATATATATATACATATGAATATATTATATACATATATATATATCATATATATATATATAATATAATATTATATTATATATATATATATGATGTATACTATATAATATATTATATATAATATTGACATTATATAATAATAATTCTATATAAACTATATAAATATTATACATTATGATATAACTATATACTATTACATATATGAATATACTAATACTATATTATTGATTATATAATAATACATACTATATATTATATATATGTAGTATATATCATCATAATAATTATAATACATATATATTTTTATATATATATAATATATATATAAATATATAATATATAATATATATATATATATATAATATATATATATATATATATATATATATATAATATATATCTACACGCGTATTTCAGCAATTAATAATTCTAGCGACTGCAATTATTAATTTTGAAAATACGTGATAGTAAATCCATGCTGCTGGGTCTGATAACGAAGAAGCTGCACGTAAACCTGATTCTAATCTAATTCCCTCGTTAATTCACCCTTTAACCAAAAACGGCGAGATTTGGTAATTTATTTGGTAAATATTCTGGTCCTCCTGCCTCATTGCCTCGGCAAAGGAGGGACTCGTGTCTCTCCCCTCGAGTGGTGGCATTTGAAGGCACTCCACTCTAAGAGTATTACACTCTTGTGGTTTCCGAGTGGCTCGGACTCTTGAGTGTGTGATGTTTTAATGTTCCTGGTTCACACGAAAAGAGTTTTTAAACTGTTTTTTTTCCTCGCTTTATGCCTCTTGATGACGGGTGCCTTGATGCTGGTGGAAGAACCCTGGTGTCAGAGATTGATGCAACCCTCTCGGATCAAACCTGTTAAGCTCCCATTTCCCAGACACTGCATGACCCTTGAATACAATCACAATAATAATTTATGCCATTTAGAGAAATAACTTCGCAAAGCTGGTGTCCGTATTTATAATGAAATATTTTTTTTCCAGAGTTCTCCGGTGTTTACTTAAGTAATCAGAGTTTTCCATAGTTAGACTGAAATGCTTTTGGTGTGTTTTCGTGTGATGGTTCTCGGGGATCTTAAGACTCTCCGTGGTTATCTCGGGTCTTTTCCTGTCTTTAGAAAAGCTCACGAATGAATATTGAACCGCCACACTTGTAATGGATTCCTTGTAACTAGAACAACTCTGGCCTTTCAACGAAGGAATAACAGACACAGCTGTAGCTTTTTTAAGATTGGCACAGTTCTGACTTCACTATGAATGACGGACACAGTTCTGGCTTTTCTGTCACTTGCTGACATAACTGGCTTCATTCTTTCAGACATTTCTGGCCTCTAAAATATTTGTACATATGGAGACGCCCTAAATAGCCTTGTTTAAGCCGTTGAAATTGACAGTAAACATTTGAGCATTTCAAACCTTTGAGCATTTATCAATGAACGATGAATTGATAACACGTTTGATAACCATATATAACATTATCTTTATTTGATAACACAAGCTCGGGTTCAATCCTGGGATGGGTGGAGAGATATCGTCAACTCTGCTTGTACCTATCACACTTATTTACCTAGAAGTAAATAGGTACCGGAGGGTTAGCTGACTGTTGTAAGTGGCATCCTGGGAAGTGGTAGTATATCTTAATCGCTGGGCTTCCGGAGATTGCTGACGTAAGATAACAGATTTAAATGAACTGTAATATGATAACAGCTCTTAGCCTGTAAATTCAGTGTTTTGAAATCTGTTCCACTAGACAAGATAACACGTTTGAGCCCTTCATAACTGCATTAGTAAAGATAACACACTTGGTTGACCCCTCCCCCTTACATACACGTTTGATGTGACAGGTGTGTAAAGGCTTATCTGTCTCAGGTAGTAGGTGTGAGTGGCTACAAAGGTGATGCTAGAACAAATGCGTGTGACCTCATTGTGTAGGTGTAACGTTGCAGGTAATGAAAGTCATCCTTTGCAAAAGGTACTATGTTATTGCTGCAGTGGTACAATATTACTAATACAAAGGTACAGAATTATGAACAAAATGTGCCATTTTGTGAATGCAAAGGTGTGGCAGTGTGGACGTAAATGCACAGAATTATTCATTCATATATGCAAATTTATGGCTACAGAGGTACAATGTTCTCGTTGCAAAAGTATGGAGTTTTGTGTTATAATTACAAATGTGCCTTTTAAACGCAAATGGTTACAAATTTGTAAAAGGCGAACGGTGAATTGGAACGGACTTGTGTGGGTAGAGGTGAAAGGACATCCACCTGTGTGGATAGTGAGGATCATGGGTGGGGAGAGGTTCAGAGACAGAAACTCACCTGAGTAGGTACAGGTGAAAGAGGACTCACCTGAGTGGGAACTGTCTGCATCCACATCCTCTTAGGCAGCATGAGGTGACCACTCTGAGGGATCTTTCGACGCAGGAGGCGGCTGGCTGTGGAGAGACCTGTTTTAATATCCATGTTGAAGGAGGTGCCAATATGAGCTCCTCTACAACACCAGCTCCTCCATAATACTGGCAATCTTATCTCGAGAGAGAGAGTGTCGTTGCTACCTATTCCAGATACTGGTGCCTCCTTTCCTCCACCAGGCACCCCTCTCACCCACTTTTTCATTAAAATATTCACTACTACTACTACTAATAATAATAAATAACAAAAAGGCACAATACCGTGACTGGAACGATACACAAATAACCATTGACTTTGTCAATGGTCCAAGTCGGACCGAAACGTCGTCGTAAGCTTCTGTCTTTTATGTGCGGGTTATTTGTGTACTAATAATAATAATAATAATAGTAATAATTGAGGATATGGGTTTAGGTTAAGGAAGGTTTGTCAGAAAACAGGACAAGTGTTTCCTGACGTGGGTCTTAGTCTTAGCAGGAGTTTTTGGTTATCTGACCGAAACCTTCCACTGGTTTACCGATCCATCTCTTTTAAAAATTAAGGTTATAATTACAACATTATTATGTGGGTTTAGTGAGTCATTTAAACTGATATGCTGACACATCTGGAATAAAACAGCTATAGGACGAATGATGGTGAAAGATGTTTCATTCTTTCGCCACAATACCTTGGTGGGAAGCGTGTTGAAAAGTGTGTGTGTGTGTTAGACATGCAAATATTAATCATTAGTTTAATAATATGTGCGCAATGTTTGTCAATATTCTGCGGCCAGAGTGAGTCGTTACATCAACTTGAAATAGTGTAATATGTCACTCTTGTGTCAACCCTTGGTAACTTTCACTTTGGGGGTGAGAAACACACACCTGCTGGGTAAACACTACACACCTGCTGGGTGAATATGATACACCTGCTGGGTGAACACTACACACCTGCCGGGTGAACACTACACACCTACTGGGTGAACATTACACATCTGCCGGGTGAACACTACACACCTGCTGGGTAAACACTACACACCTGCTGGGTGAATATGATACACCTGCTGGGTGAACACTACACACCTGCCGGGTGAACACTACACACCTACTGGGTGAACATTACACATCTGCCGGGTGAACACTACACACCTGCTGGGTAAACACTACACACCTGCTGGGTAAATGATACACCTCTGGGTGAACACTACACCTCCGTGAACACTACCTAACTGGTGAACATTACATCTGCCGGTGAACACTACACACCTGCTGGTAAACACTACAACCTACTGGTGAATGATAACCTGCTGGGTGAACATACTCACCTGCCGGGTGAACACTACACACCTATGGTGAACATTACACATCTGCGGGTGAACACTACACACCTGCTGGGTAAACACTACACACCTGCTGGTGAATATGATACACCTGCTGGGTGAACACTACACACCTGCCGGGTGAACACTACACACCTACTGGGTGAACATTACACATCTGCCGGGTGAACACTACACACCTGCTGGGTAAACACTAACACACCTGCTGGGTGAATATGATACACCTGCTGGGTGAACACTACACACCTGCCGGGTGAACACTACACACCTACTGGGTGAACATTACACATCTGCCGGGTGAACACTACACACCTGCTGGGTAAACACTACACACCTGCTGGGTGAATATGATACACCTGCTGGGTGAACACTACACACCTGCCGGGTGAACACTACACACCTACTGGGTGAACATTACACATCTGCCGGGTGAACACTACACACCTGCTGGGTAAACACTACACACCTGCTGGGTGAATATGATACACCTGCTGGGTGAACACTACACACCTGCCGGGTGAACACTACACACCTACTGGGTGAACATTACACATCTGCCGGGTGAACACTACACACCTGCTGGGTGAACATTACACACCTGCCGGATGAACACCACTACTAATAATATCAGATGAAAGAGGACACAAAAATGTACCTGTGACGTACCTGTTTAGTGTTTAATGATTAAATATTGATTTTAGGTTTGTGTTGTTGTGGCAAGTGATCCGTCATTACCTGTCAGCCGGAAATAATCAGCAGACCCATTGTTGTAATAACTCCTGTTATTCTCTCTATTATTTATAACTTTTATAATATATGCAGGGCTCGATGTTAATTTGTAACATAGCCACTGTGTAGGCAGTTCAGGTGTCACCTTCAACTGCCTACACAGTGGCTAGACGGGGTATTAAATGTAGCATCCTTATTTCCCTACTCTCCTAAACTTGCTCAGAGAGTCAGATGACATTTTGATGCTCAGCAGGGGATGACGAGGAGCGCTTGCTTTGTCTCCATTAATATAGCCTCACACATAAATACATAGCACAATGTCATTTTAGAGACTTGAAGTTTCATAGCATTGCCTTGTGTCCGCAGTCTATGCCATTATGTGGGCTCTGTTTAATGAGAGCCTTGGTGGCCAATACACTATCCTGTGTGTTGATTTAGACTCTGGCCGTAATGTACAGTATGGACTGTTGCATTACAACAGTCAGCACTGTTGTCTTTGCCTCTGAGAGCGAGGCTCATCATCATGTTGATATTGTAACGGTATCCGTAATACACCACACGCCAACACTTACCTGTTGGTGTGTACTCACTGTGGCGTGTAGACTTAGTTTTTGACTAGTGTTTTCCTGCTCACGTATATACTATGTTGACAGTGTCGTGTGCTGGTGATCTGCACACATCAATACTCGTGTGGGATCTGTACGAGTTTCGCATGATTTATCTTTTATATAAATAATCAAGCGTTGGTCTTCGAACAATTATCATTTGTGGGTTGATTATTTTACACTCGGTTTTGATAAACTGGCAGTCAGGTATTACATCGATTATATTGTGGTCAGAATGTAATCGAGGACCCCAGGAAAGAAACGTTTCCTAATAAAAATGCCCTTCTGTTTCCTCACGTATTTGTAAACCACATTTTAAAAGAGAGGTAAAAAAAAAAGGGAAGGTTAAACGCGACTATAAAATTAAAGTAGCAAGAAAATTAAAGATAAATCTAAAAGGTTTTTTCAGATTTATAGGACAAACGTCAGGGGAAAAAAAGGACCACTAAAAACTAGATCTGGACAGCTTACTCCATTACCAAAGTGTCTTTAGCTAAAATAGATAGGCATATAAAGTCACTCGACTGGTGAATCAAGGTGAATTATATTTTTCGGTTTGTAATCATAAGATGTTTATCTACAATAGACCTTGCTTAGGAAAAAGAGGCAAGCAAGTCTCACGGCTCCATTCTGGTGCTGCATACTCTAAAATGTACCTGTCATGCGTTCAGTACAGGGCTTCGGAGGAGTGTATGTTCAGGTTTCATAAGACTGTACTTAGGTTCACTAGTCTCGCATATGTTAAGACTGAAGTGAGGTACTGATATGTTAAGACTGAAGTGAGGCACTGATATGATAAGACTGAAAGGCACTGATATGATAAGACTGAAGTGAGGCTACATGTCTTTCAACAGAAATGACCAACTTTCCTCAAGACTGAAGTGAGTCACGCTCAGATGATTATCATAGCACTCTCGCCATAAGAATGTGGCACTCCCACTTGAATGCGGCACTCCCACCTTAAAAAATTATCACTCCCACCTTGAGAAAGTATCTCTCCCACCTTGAGAGTGTTTCAAGAACACCAATTAAAAACAAGATCTCTCACACACTGACAAGAACCTTCTTAATGCTTAGTTAATGAGTTCCTCTTTTGAATTTAATATTTAAATTAAGGTGAGATTTGATTTTCCTAAAAGATTTGCATTTTTTCTCTCACGGTGCGTAACATCACAAGCGTCAGTGAACCCGCGCATTAGTGTCGCTGTGTGACGCATATTTACGCATCAGAGCTGCTGTGTGACGCATATTTACGCATCAGAGCTGCTGTGTGGCGTATATTTACGCATTAGAGATGCTGTGTGACGCATATTTACGCATTAGAGTGCTGTGTGGCGCATATTTACGCATTAGAGTGCTGTGTGACGCATATTTACGCATCAAAGCTACTGTGTGACGCGTAACCGGTCAGCAGTTTCGTCTCTCTTAACTGTATAAAAAGATTCAGGTCACAGAACTCACTTTAATCCAGCGAGATATTGCGCCCGCTCGTAAAAGGTCTACGATTGAGCTGAACGTACACTAACAGGACTACGATTAGCGGACGAATGAACGAGACTTCACGCCATGAATGACCCACACAGGTTCAAAGCTTCGTTAAGTAAATAATAATAATAATAATAATAATATAATAAACGCTTCCCCACCTCAGCTGATTGCTACTCATTATGTGAATGTGTTACATATAACATGTCATCGTTGCCAGTTTAAAGGTGCAAGATTATGCTTGGCTGACGAAGTTCCAGAGCTGTTGATGCTGTGTTCTACATCTCCCTTGTCTGGTCTAGAGGCCAACACGTCTTTTCTAATGACAAGTGCGTTTTCCAGCGCGTCGCACTGCGTCGGTTTCAAAGCGTTCACTGTTTAACGCTTAGATTTGGCGAGACTGCGTTCCCACCTTTGACACAGACTCCCTCTGTGACCCTTTTTTACAGCAACAGTTTTACCACACAAACGTTGGTGGTACTTCCTTAAGCACTCCTCACAGCCCTTTCTAACTCTACTTTTGTTATCCTCTCCTTTCTCACTACTCTATAATCAAGCAAGTAAATTATATTATTATTATTATTACTTTTGGGTACATTTTTTTTTTTATTCGCCGGTACTCTCCCGGTCCGGATCTTTTCCAAGAGTGGTGACCCGGCCTTGGCTCCCTGTCTATATAGGTAATGTTAAACTCTATCATCCTAGTTTTGTGAAGATTCTCTTTTAGACTTGCAGAGAACAATTTATGCGTTATATAAAAAGTATAACACAATATCGTGGCTGGAATAAATCGCAAATAACCTTATATTTTGGACGATGTTTCGTGACCTGATAATGGTCCAGGACGGACCGAAATGCCGCCTAAAGTGTTTTCCTCTACAAATTGTGT